TGACAGACTGGATTAAGAAAATGTGGCACATATACACCATGGAATACTATGCAGCCATAAAAAAGGATGAGTTCATGTCCTTTGTAAGGACATGGATGCAGCTGAAAACCATCATTCTCAGCAAACTATCACAAGGACAGAAAACCAAATACCACATGTTCTCACTCATAGGTGGGAACTGAGCAATGAGAACACTTGGACACAGGAAGGGGAACATCACACACCAGGGCCTGTCGTGGGGTGGGGGGCTGAGGGAGGGATAGCATTAGGAGATATATCTAATGTAAATGACAAGTTAATGAGTGCAGCACACCAACATGGCACATGTATACATATGTAACAAACCTGCACATTGTGCACATGTACCCTAGAACTTAAATTATAATAAAAATTAGAAAGGAAATCAGTATATTGAAGAGATATCTGCACTCCTATGTTTATTGCAGCACTGCTCACAATAGCCAAGATTTGGAAACAACCTAAGAATCCATAGATAGATGAATGGATAAAGAAATGTGGTACATTTATAAAGTGGAGTCTTATTTAGCCATAAAAAAGAATGAGATTCTGTCATTTGCAACAACGTAAATGAATCTGGAGATCATTATGTTAAGTGAAATAAGCCAGGCACAGAAAGACCAACATCACATGTTCTCACTTATCTGTGGGACCTAAAAATGGAAACAATTGAACACATGGACACGGAGAGTAGAAGGATGGTTACCAGAGGCTGGAAAGGGTTTGGGGGGTGGTTTGGTGAAGGGAGGTGAGGATGATTAATGGTTATAAAAAATAATTTAAAAGAAGGAATAAAGCCTACTATTTGATAACACAACAGGGTGAGTATAGTCAATAAGAACTTAATCGAGCATTTTAAAATAACTAAAATAGTATAATTGGATTGTTTGTAACACAAAGGATAAATGCTTGAAGGCATAGATAGCCCATTTTCCATGATGTGATTATTTCACATTGCACGCCTGAATTGAAACATCTCATGTATCCCATAAATACGTATACCTAATATGTACCCACAAAAATTAAAAATAAATAAAATATCTGGCCAAAATAATAATAACAGATAGAACAACTAGGCAGAACATCAAAAAGTATATATAAGACTCGAAGAACACTATAAACCTGCTAGACCTAATAGACATTGGTAGCGTACTCGAATTAGTCCATTTTTACACTGCCATAAAGAACTGTCTGAGACAGGGTAATTTATAAAGAAAAGAGGTTTAACTGACTCTCAGTTCCACATGACTGGGGAGGCCTCGGGAAACTTAAATTCATGGCAGAAATAGAAGCAGGCACATGTTACATGGCAGCAGGCGAGAGAGAGAGGGCAAAGGGGGAAGAGCCCCTGATAAAACCATCAGATCTCATGAGAACGAACTCACTATCATGAGAACATAATGGAGGAAACCGGCCCCATGATCCAATCACCTCCCACCAGGTCTCTCTCTTGACATGTGGGGATTACAATTCGAGATGAGAGTTGGGTGGAGACACAGAGCCAAACCATATCAACACTCCACCCAATAATAGCAGACTATAAATTCTTAATTACACATAGAACATTCTTCAGAATAGAACACATCCTAGGCCATAAAAGGCCATAGTAGTTCCTTGTCTACATTGAATTAAATTAGAAATCAAGAACAAAAAAGAAATGAGGAAATTACCAAATGTGAAAATTTAACAACACACATCTACATAACCAAATGGGTCAAAGAAAAAATTACAAGGGGAATTAGAAAATATCTTGAGATGAATAAAAAGGAAAACGCACACACCAAAATTTAGGAGGTACATCTAAGGCAACAGTCAAAGGAAAATTTATAGCTATAAACATCAATAATTTTTAAAAGATCTCAAATCAATACGCTAACTTTTCACCTTAGGAAAAGGGAAAAGGAAGAGCAAACTAAGCATAAATCAAGCACAGAGGGGGAAAATTATAAAGATTACAGTGGAAATAAATGAAATCGATCACTAAAAAATAATAGAGTAAAATCAACAAACCCAAAAGTTTATGCTTTCAATACATCAAAAAATGGGCACCTTTAGCAACATTGACCAAGAAAAGAAGAGAGAAGGCTCAAATTACTACAATCAGGAATAAAAGAAAGGACATCACTACTGACCTTTAGAGAAAAACTATTCCTAAAAGACTAGAGATCTATTGTTCCAACTATGTACCCTCAAACAAGTCTCAAGCTCTCTAAATTTATATGTCCTTATCTGTACAAAGATGAGTTAATCTAAACCAGACATTTTCAAACTTTTTCTAAGAAGGAGAATCATTTTTTCAAACAAAATCTTACAAGGACATATTATATAAAAAACTGATTAAAGCCTAACTTCTCTATTTGAAGCAACATGAGAATCTTAGAGAATTGTGGAAAAGACTCTTCTTTCTCTTAAAGGAGGTCCTGAGTCTCTCCTGGTAGAATCTAAGGACACCACAGAACATAATCTCTAAATTACTAATTAGGTGATCTGTAAGATTTCTTCCAGCTCTAAAGAGTTATCTATATTAAATTATTTTCTGTATTGAAATTGCCATTGTACAATTCATTATATTTCCACTAGATGGTGCTAATACCTTGATTTCCATTAAAAATAAACCTTGTATATGCTGATTTTTAGTTAATAATTTTATCACCGTATATGTAAAGCTATCACCCTTAGCTTTTCAAATAACTACTATATTTCTTCTGTTATCCTCATTCCACACCTGTGACACGCATAATATTGCACCTATTTTTCAGGTGAGGATATTGTGGTACATAGTAGTTAACTGAGTGATTCAAGGTCACAGTTTATCTTTAACAAATTTTCTGCTAGCTCTGAGACCTTCCCTTAGATCACATTGCCTAATAATGTCAGATTCTCAGGGCCCCAGGCTGACAAGAGAAGGGAAAATAAAGGAATGAACATTAAGTACATTAAAACTGGTACAAATGTCCTTTGGTCTTGTGTGATGGAACATCAATATTTGTGCATGTAAACACACTTATAATTTCTTTATTTCCTTTATTTCTCAATATAAGACCTCTGGTGATATATATTCCTACCTAAATATAGTAAAGGCAAAACAATAATAGATAAACATATCCCCTATTTAAATACTATCCTTAGGGTAAATGTAATAGTTCTTTTAAATGCAGTATAGAAATTACATAATCTAGGTTTACTAAACCTAAGCACTATGAATTTAGAAAGCAACAGTATATTTTTTGCTGGGTTTTTCTTTTAATTCAAAGAGGTATACAATAAGTTTTATACAGGCAGAAAAGAGACAGAGTTCCCTCCGAACTCAGAGATACTCCATCAAGAAAAAAAACTATTCCTGACCAACAGAAAGCAACCTACATTACTTACCAACAGAGACAGGTTTCAGATTAGTATTTAGAGAATTTTAAATGGTGCTGGAAAAGGATCTCAAAAATTTACTCCTCCCTAACATACTGCCTACACAATCGTTTATTAACATCCCCCAAATCTAGCAACAATAAATTTATGGTCTTTTTTTAAAAAAAAAAAGATAATATAAACTGTAACCATAAAAGAAGGATGATGAAAAAACTATGATCTGTTTGTATCCCTATTGGGAGAAAAGCAGCACAGAGCTCCCTTTCTCTGCATTGAGAAATACTCTCATCTTTGTTAATCTACAAAGAACTCTCTTCTTCAAGAATTTATAAGCATAAGGACCTAGTCTCTGATCTGTAAGTCAAAGAAGTAATGTCATTAAATCTCATTTATTATGGCAAATGTTATATTATTTTTTACAGAACATCTTCAGGGTTTTATCCAGCTCTCTTGGATGCTATCCAATTCAAATGTCTTCTGTTATTTTACCAATTTATCTCATTGTCTCTAATATAACAGGAGATCACCAATTACAAATTTTCCTGTGTATAATCTTTGGCTTTACTTCAGTCTATTAATCTTTTTTAACTGCAATCTATTTTGAAAACAAACTTTAAAAAAAAACTCCTTAAATCTTCCAAATGCATTTCTTTTTTTTTTTTTTAATAAAAAAAATTGTGTTTACTTAGAAGCATTCAGAATGTCAACAAAACAGCTGCAACTTTTTTGGCAATTACAGAGTGATATTCAGTTAACAGAACAACAATTATTTCATATAAGCTGCATCAGAGACAACTGAAGATGAAAAAACTACCATCCCCATATATAACTAATTTGTGCTGTGTACCAACAAGAACCTGCTTTAAATTTCCATGCCAATTTACAACCCCCATACTGTACCAGGCAAGGTTAGTGGCCATTTAAAATACCACCAAGACAGGGCTATCTAAAGACACATTCGGTAGTGTGTTAACTATACAAAAAAAGACACTGTACAGTTTAAAAACAAATCTTACACAGCCTTACATTTCAATTTTTTTCTTTAAAAGGAGTGAGTTGTGTACAGGGGGGTTAAATGCTTTATAGACAAGAAAAAAAAACTGCGCTAGAACCAACTTATTCATCATCATCATCTTCTTCTTCATCTTCATCTTCTTCATCTTCCTCCTCCTCCTCATCCTCTTCATCTTCCTCATCTTCCTCCTCTTCCTTCTTTTTCTTGCTTTTTTCAGCCTTGACAACTCCTTTTTTTGCTGCATCAGGCTTTCCTTTAGCTCGATATGCAGCAATATCCTTCCAAAGCAAAGGGAGGACAAAACAGTAGGGAAGAAAAAAACATTAAGGGAAGAAATAGAACATGGCAGAAGTTTATGAAATAAATCAAGATTCTAGTTATACCAAAATATCACGTATCTGTAGATCCACTGCAACTCCAGAAATAAGGAGAACTTCAATAAATGAACATAAAAATACGAGATCATTATAACAATCTGTAACTCATGAAATGGCATAGTCTAGTATTTGCAAAGTTATGCCTCATTGAGGTGCAATTATGTACCACATCCTAACTCTATTAAAACCAGAATGTAGAGACTTTGATTAAAGGGTAGACACTGCCACCTTCTGAATGCAAAAAAGCACTCTACAGGTTTACACTGTCAGACCCTAATCCTTAGAAGAACATGTTGTCTTAGGAAAAAAAAAAGTTAATTTGTCAATAACCATGCAATTAGGAGGTTACAAAACATCTAGAAATAAACACTTTTCAGAATGACTAAAGAAGCTGAAAATTAAGTATTTAATATTTCAATTTACTTAACTATAAGAGTTATAGATTTCCTTAATCTTATTAATTTATTGGACAGAGCAGCAGACTTGAAATTTAACTTAGTGATGTTGTGGTTTTTCGAATATCTAAAGGAAAGGAATCTAAATGTTTCAGGATATGATTAAGAAAAACATAGCCTATATTACTTTGTCTAGCTTATTTCTGTACTGTATGCCAAGCCATTTAAAAATACTCATTTTTGACCTGAAGTGACTATCAACATTTTCATCAACTTCAAGATACTGGGGAATAACAAAACCAACTTAAATGTACACAGCCTTTGTCTGAGTCTTAATTTAGTCAAAAAAACCAATTTATTTGGTCCTCTGTATTCTCTGAAGGATGAGAAAAGACTTATATCAACAGCATACTTAATGTAGCTGTTACACTAAAAACTTATTACACCTCAAACTAAGTACAATCATACAACATCTGGCGTACTCGTCATCATTTTACCAAGCAAACCCACACTTCTTACCTTTTCGTATTTTTCCTTCAGCTTCGCAGCCTTCTTTTCATAAGGCTGCTTGTCATCTGCAGCAGTGTTATTCCACATCTCTCCCAGTTTCTTCGCAACATCACCAATGGACAGGCCAGGATGTTCTCCTTTGATTTTTGGGCGATACTCAGAGCAGAACAGGAAGAAGGCCGAACTAAAAACAAAAAAAAAAATTAGGATTTTAAGTTAACAGACCACAAAAACAAATAGTATCAAGTGTACACTGCATTGCTATTTAAAGCTGCCTGTGAATTTCTGTGATGCACTGAACAGGGTGCAAATACTATAATATGCTAATATCCTTCACAACCAAAGCTTAATTTACAACTATTTAATTTATACTAACTAGAGCCTCAGATGAACATTCTACAATTGCACTATTTCAGAGAGAGAGTATTTTTCAAGAAATAAAAGGACCAAAGGAAATACACTGGGCAAAGGAGACCAAGTGTCTAATTCAATTGCTCTGGTAACACTCCCACCCAACAGGAATTTTATAGTATTTAAATATAACCAGTATGAACACGTATTAGCTAAGAAACTTTGTACACTTACACTCTAAACTGACAAAGTAGCTTGCTAAATTTCTCTCAGATTCTACTGTAAACCGTGTCTGGAAAGTAAAAACAGGCAAGATACTCACGGAGGCCTCTTGGGTGCATTGGGATCCTTGAACTTCTTTTTTGTCTCCCCTTTGGGAGGGATATAGGTTTTCATTTCTCTTTCGTAACGGGCCTTGTCCGCCTTTGCCATATCTTCAAATTTTCCTTTCTCTTTAGCAGACATGGTCTACAAAATAATTATTTGTAAATTTAAGTTGTAAAATTTAAGTAAATTATTCTCAAAACCAATGTCTTTTGCTATGTAATAGCGTGACACTATGAGAGCGCCAACTCGACTTTTTTTTGCATCCTCAATTGGAAATTGTCTTTTAATTACCTTGTTAGCATGTTTTAAGCCCTCTTACCTTCCACCTCTCTGAGCACTTCTTAGAAAACTCTGAGAAGTTGACTGAAGCATCTGGGTGCTTCTTCTTATGCTCCTCCCGACAAGTTTGCACAAAAAATGCATATGATGACATTTTGCCTCTCGGCTTCTTAGGATCTCCTTTGCCCATGTTTAGTTATTTTTCTAAAAAAAAAAATAAATTATCTGATGTTAGCAATAAAATTATGACACACAAGAGCTTGAAGTACTTAGGAAGGGAATGAAAACCAAGGTACTGGTTATTTAACACAGTAGTGACATCAACCTCCGTGAAATCCGACAAGAATATGGCCGAGAGATTAAATTCCTTGAAGGGGCTATGCCAAGTAAAAACAAACCAAAAACGGTCCTTCAGGGCGATCTTAAGAAGTCTAGACACAAAGATATACCCATACAATATTCCCTATCTATCCGCCTGCGTCTGCTCTGAAGGCGTAACTGGTCACTTAAACGATTTTAAAATCTAGAACACCCTTTTAAACCAACCAAACCAAAGGTCAGAAAACATGCTGCCAATTCGTGGATTTGCACTACTAGGTAGGGAACAAACAAGGGCCTAAGCGAGTCGACTCTTCCTAATTATGGACCTTTAAACAAAAAATCACCGTGCACCGAAAGTTTTCAAAAACACCCTCTTTGCATAAAACTTTGCTCCGAAGAGGGAGCTGCAGCCAGCTCCGGTGCTCGGAACCCGGCTGGAGGGTGGCGGTGCCACCGCGAGGCAGCCTCGTTTCCTATCGGTTTGGCCCCGAGATGTATTTCTGTTCTGACTAAACACGTCCGGTCTGAAGTTTCTCCGAGTAAACAAGGATGAGGGACAAAAGCCACTCCTGCTCGTGGCTCGGTGGCCCCCTCCCCCAACTCGCGGAGTATTTTTTGGAGCCGTGAAAGTTGGGGTGCCTCCCGCGCGGGGCGAGCCCCCCGCCCCCAGAACTTCACCGGTGGCCGCGCGGCCGACGCGGCCCGGCTCCCAGGCCCGAAGCCGCCACGTGCACCCGGCAGGCCCGGCAGGCCCCGCAGGCCCGCGCCGCCGCCGCCCCCATTTTGTCAGGCTCCGCGCAGGGAGAAGCCCCGCTCGAAATGGGGGCTGGCTCCGCCCGCGGCCGCCGGGGCCGGCGCGCACGGAATGGCCGCTGCGCGTCTTCCCCGCCTGCGCCGCCGCCGCCGCCGCGAGGGCGAGCGCGAGCGAGAATATGGCTCCTTCCCTTTGTGTGTGTGTGTGTGTGTGTGTGTGTGTGTGAGTGTGAGTGCGAGGGTGCGGGCGCGGCGGCGGCGGCGGCGGGCGGGGTGCGCGCCGCGCTCTGGCGCACACACTCGGCCATTACGGCCGGGGGAGGGGCGGGGGGCGCGCGGCCGGGCCCTCCCCTCCGCGCCGCTCCCCTCCCCCCGCCGCGGTGGGGGCCGCCCGAGGGCCCACCCGCCCGCCACTCCCCGTCTCCCTCCGCGCGGGCCGCGCGCCCCGCCGCCCCCGCACGGGGAACGCGGGGCTGTGAAAAGAGAGAGGAAAAAAAAAGTTGCCTCGGAACTGCTGCGCCCAGCTCCCCCGCCCGCCCGCCTTGTTTTCTCTCCAGCCAGCAGCGCCGGGCCCGAGTCAGCCATGTTCCAGCGAGCGCAGCGGCGCCGCTCCCCCCGCCGCCCGGCCGCCGCCGCGCCCGGGCTCCGCTGCGTGGTGGTGCCGCCGATGCCCAGCATGAATGGGGCGCCGAGCGCCGCGCGGCTGCGGACCGGCCTCGCTCTCGCCGCCCGCGGAGCGCCGCGCCGCGCGCATGCGCCGCCCCTAAACTACTTATAAGTTGTCCAAAGTACTAATAATAGTAGTTGGGGACAGTTGCGGCCACAGCCAAGAGCCCTCCACATCTCCCTGCTTCCGAGCTGCCTGGGATGGTAACATCTAGGATACTCTTCACATTGAGGAAGACTAAGTTTTGCCTGGTTCTCTTCTCCTCAAAGCTTAGAGTACGTATCCCTACCCATGACCCTGGCGACCTACCTGGCTCTAACGGTGGCCCACTGAGAGGCATGCACAGGCTGCTCATCATAGCTTTGCTCATCCATGAGCCAGTAGGCTGACAATTACATGTCTCAGCGCCCTCTCGGCTCGCGCGCCCAACCGCGCGCAGAATCCCACAAACAGGCTGCGAGGACGCATCCTTGTGAGCGACCGCCTCTGCCCTCACCACCACAGAGCAGACGGAGAAAACAGCACAGGCTGAGTGACCCGTTTCATAATACGCCAAAACAAGCAACCAAACAGCGTCCATTCTGGGATCCATATACCCGCAGGTCTACCAAAGAAACAGCCGCTTCCCGATGCAACACCCCCATGCAGGTTTGTGGCGCTTCTGAGGAGGGAACAGCAGCGGGACGACTGGGAGGCGACCCCTGGGCCCGGTATGCCGTCCTTCCCTTTCCCCTAACCATGTGACACTCGCTAACAACGGCGCCTCCTCTTCCTCCGTACGCGTCGTGACTTCCACCAGCAAAACACCCGCACCACAGCCGACGGAGGCCCTCCGCCGGGTTTTCCTGGCCCTTTTGCTCTGTTATTGGATGGCTCCGCGTCGCCGCGCTTCCCCTGCCTGGTTGCTCCACCTTGACCGCCTCCGGCATGCCTCCCGGCCCTGCGGGTGGCGGTTGGAGTAGCAGGTCATGAATTTGCTGGGTGGCTCTGCCCCTCAGCTCTGCCATGCGGCTGGGGGTACTTGCCTGGGCAGACTCCGGCTCGTCACCCTGGACCTGAAGCCCCACCCCCTCGCACCTCAGACCCGCTACCCAGGCTCACGCGAGTTCGCGTCTCACCATCGCCTCTGCCGCGGGACTTTCTTCCCTGGGCCGCGTCCCCAGCTCAGGATCGGCGCCACCAGCCTGGGGCCTGCAGGGGGCGCCCGGCTCCCCGCGCAGGTGCCCCCATCTCAGACGAGGAAACTGCGCGAGCCGAGAGTCTAGGAACTACCCGCCCCGCAAGGTCTCGGGAACTGCGACTCGCCTCCTTCAGCTCAGTATTCCCCTCCGCGTGAAAGGAGGCTGCTCCTAAGCCTGGACACCTGAGCCAGGCCCCCTGTTCCGGGGTCGCGGGCTACCTCGCTGGCGAGGGGGGATCCGACTGCTCGCGCGGCCCGGCACCAGAGAGTGTCGCGTGGCTCTGCGGCGGTAGCGCCGTACTGCCTTTGAAGGCGGCGCGGTGGGCCCTGCGGCCGGCCGGCGACGGACGGGGCAGAGCGGCTCTGGAGGCCGCCGCCGCCCGGCCCCGCCCGCCCGGGCTCT